ACGTTTTAATGGACAACAAAGTAAAATTGGTAGAATGCGAAAGGCTTGCGCGAGAACTTATGGAAGATGGTGGTGATAGACAGACTCATCAGAAATTGTGTACTTGGAACGCGCCAGTGATATTCCAGAGAGCTTTGCAAAGCGGTTGAAAATCAGACAAAACAGGAAACCCTCCAAGTAAAAAAAAATGCTTTCGCTGAATGTACAATCAGAGTACCGGTTGGCTGAACCTGTAGACTCCTAATGGAGTAAAACACCACAACCAAACTACGCTAGTAGTACTGCTTTGGTTATAGTAGCAAGAAGTTTATACGGGGATAGAATTGCCAGTCCTACATCCAACCAGTTTTGAATTCAGAATTGTCTTTCTCTTTTCTCAATCAAGATAAAAAGAAAACCAGTTTTCCCTATTATTTAATCCATAGCGGGTACATGGGAGAAGATATTATTTGATGTTTCTCGCAATATTTGTGCGAAAGGGAACCCAACAGACTAGGTTGAAATTTGAATTTGAAATCGTCTCACTGAAAATATTTCCTGCGCTATGCTACCCACGAATTAACAAGTATAATAATAATAATAATAATAATTATTATTATTATTATTACAATATTTCAGCCGTTGTACGCTCCGGCCTTCTTCAGGTGGTTGGAATGTCGAACTGAACCCTTTATTTCGCTCACTGGGGTAGAATGTTCTAGTTCCATGTGCCATGTCTAATGGATGTCAGTTATCAGTTATCTCCTGTTAATTCCCCTCTGAAAGTTCTCCACTGCCTTAACCGGGTATTGAACTCACACTCTTTGGGTCCTGTCACTGGCTCTAACCACTGTGGATAAAAGTGTTGGTTAGTAAATGGCATCAGTGTTTATTCGTCCAAACTTCTTTAAGCAGAAAATGACTTTCGTGATAAGAAATTACATTTACCTCATCTAGACAATAATAATAATAATGTTTTTAATGCCATGTACCAACAGCACGTAGGTGATTGTGTCTCTTCAAGGCCTTCTTTTCTCTGTTGTCTGTATATAAATAAACGTGATTGTTTTGGAGATATGAAATTAAGTACTTCCCCCGTTGCTTCTCTCCAAACATCTGAATTGTTTTCTTTCTTCTAGATTGGTTGCTGATCAAGGCTAGAGAGTTAGGCCTTATCTGACAAATTGCAATAATGGTTAAGATATTTTTGGGATCGCAAGACAAAATGTTGGCTGTTGATTCAACGGACGATATTTTTTCACCGGGTCTTACGCACAGTGAAGAAACACTTTGATTTCAAAACAAAACAAAGAACTCCGTCTCTCTTAATTAGAAGATTATTTCTCGTAAAAGCTGCCATACTTTCATCCAGACCGTTATTTTCCCACCCAACGTTTCCCATCTTTTCAGTCTTTTCTTTTTTTTCTTTTTTTTTTTTTCGTTTTCGATCGCCCGCTCTACAAACCGAAATCATCTGCATTTAGATTCTTTCTGACACGTGACAAATAAATGGCCCAATGGCCTTCACTTTCTCCCCTACATGTTTTCGGGTTGATTGATGAGGAAGCAATTTCAGGGGATATGCTGTCCTCTTTGGTTGCAGCTTCTGAGTTCTAAATGATAGCTAGTACGGGAGAGGCGATAGAAGACGAGGTTGCAGCAACAGCATCTACGGTGGTATTGGTAAGTGGTAGAAGTACCACTCTGGTGGTATGATTTTTTATTAATCAATTTATAATCATAGAAAAACTGAAAGATTTATTTTGCTCTTCAAACTTTGGAGTAAAAGTTAGAAAGCTGGTCACGCAGTGATGGCAAATCTCACCGAGGGCCCACTTACATGGACTTGTTCCAGATTAAACAAAGTTTAGTAAATATCAATGCGGACCATCTCGTTGTCGAGTATGGTTAACGTAAATGTCTTAGGTAATGAGTTTGATCCTCATTAGACGCTCTAATATTTTAGCCTTGTGCCAGACTAAATATTAGCAAATATTTATTTGTTCTTATTTCTATGGAGTGGGGATTAGCAAGCTAGTCTGGCAGATCGTTACTACTGTAGAGAATTCGATCCTCGCTGAACATCTACGCTCGACACTCACGCTTGTGGCATTGTCTAGCTGTCGAGTTTGGTTGATAATGACGTATTGGATAATCAGTTATGTCTTCAGTGGGTGTCTATATTTGTGGCTTTGTGTCAGACGAACCTTAACAATTCAAATAATATACAAAAACAAGGATCATTTCATTCATAACGGATACGGAGGTTTTTGTATATTATTTGAATTGTTTGCGATGATGGATGTCTCGCCATTTAAATCATTAACCTTTGCATTAGTTTTTGTGTGAATAATTCATGTATTTGTAAATTGATTGCACGTTTATCGTAATTTAAATAACTGATCCAAGTGCGACTTTTGGATAATAAGTGCGACATTACTGTAATTATTGAACAATATAGTTCATGCCACTTTGACAGAAAAATTTACCAGTAAAAAATTCGTTCATCACCATATATGAACGCACAACCTTTAAAAAAAAATTTTAAATTAAACTCAGCGTTGCTTTAGCGCGCTCCAAAAACAGTAACTCATTTTCAATAGCATTTTCGGATACAACAATACATATATTTTCGTTGTCCTCTTATTACTAAGAGAAAAAACAAGAACAACATCTATTCTATACCTGAAGATGTCTGTAGGAACAGACGAAAGCTTGTAGTAAAAATAAGAACTAATACGGCAGAAATTTTTATAAACAAGGATCATTTCATTCATAACGGATACGGAGGTTTTTGTATATTATTTGAATTGTTTGCGATGATGGATGTCTCGCCATTTAAATCATTAACCTTTGCATTAGTTTTTGTGTGAATAATTCATGTATTTGTAAATTGATTGCACGTTTATCGTAATTTATATATATATATATATATATATATATATATATATATATATATACAGTGTAACCCGGATATAAGAGAGTTGTTGGGACCGGAGAAGTCTCTTATATCCGGGTTTCTCTCATATCCGGGTTTGGTCTATTTTATATACATTAACACAGGCTCTAATTTGGGACCAGAGAAAATCTCTCTTATATCCGGGTTTCTCTTATATCCGGGTGTCTTATATCCGGGTTACACTGTATATATATATATATATATATATATATATATATATACACTTTGCTATGTAAATTCATTGTAAATTGACCACCCACCCTTACGAAAGCCAAAACAAAATATACTCATACCACGTGATTTCTTAAAACGTAAAAAAAATGATTAAGGATGATAAATGATTGATGATAATCTGGAGATTCTTTTTTTAATATGTGATTATCAGTTAAACACGCCAGATTACGAATTTCAATTCATTTTTTTTCTACATTTCAAAAAATCATGGCAGTCCCGTCTATTTAGGCGGCTAGCCAATTCTTTTTGCAGACGTCTGCCCAGGAGCATTAGCACGAACAGAGGTTTATACTGCAACTATGCTGAGCGGGATCAACAGCTGAACAAGATCATTATGCTCAAACACTCGGTCACGCTGCCTTGTGACTTTGTGCTAGCATGAACAGTTTCGTTTACCTAATTTTACTCACAAGGCTTGGTTCAAATAGTGGTATGATTTTAAAAGCGCTTTTCAACGGTACCGTATTCTTGGATCGCGTCTGTAGGTTGATAACACCAGAAAGTTGTCTGCCTGACAAATTGGGCATGGTGAGATTCGAACACGGGTCTGATGCTCAAAAAATGAACGTTCTAACCACTTGGCCACATACGTGCATGAGTGCGTGTGCGTGTGTATCGATTTCCTGATTCACTTTCAGTTTTACATTATGATCAGCTTAAACATTAACATCGCTAGTTCTTTGCTTGTTTACAACAAATTCAGACTGATCTATTGTCTTGGACACGTGTATCTCAATTTCAAAGTCTCTTTTCTCCGTTACTGTTAAGTAGTTTTATGAAGAGGGAAATCGGCCTCAAAACAAAGAAGCGACGAACTCTGATATTTGTTGCGAAGGATTTCGAACATGACAGGTATGGGAATGCGACCAGGCTAACCAACGGGGGGCGGGTGTTCAAAAACAGAATTTGTTTCAACATTTCCAGAAGTTTACTGTGTCTATACGACAGATGCCGAAAGAATTATATGAGATAGAGTATGCGAGATAAAAGACCAACTGGCCTGAATGCATCAAATTTGATTGGGACATTTTCACGTTTCGTGAATTCAGGTAAAAAAAGAAAATAAAGCATTTGCCTTTTAATTCAGTAAAGAAAAATAGAATGAACGGTTCGTTTTAGAACAGTGTTCAATAAATGACTTTCCTGGATCACCTTCACTGGATTCTCCACTGTTAAACTACGTAAATACTCATAAAATCCATATAAATTTTGATTCTATAGATTACCATAAGCACTTCTGATAGAACAGAAAGATATGGATCCTCTTCTTCTCCCCTAGCTATGGGTAAATAGCAGGACAGACCGGATTCTGTAGTTTTGGATGGCAACTGGTCTACCGCAGAAAGAAATGGCAACCTACTGCGGGAAAAAATATGTCTCGTCAGTCATGTATCTTTCGATACATGATCGCCTAAGCGTGTATCACGCATGGCACATAACTGACTGAACCAACAAATCCGACAAATCCTTAACAACAAGAAAAATTCATGAGGATTTTTTACCCAGAAACCAGAAAATGGTTTGAACCTTAAGAAATTAAATAAAAATCTTAAACAAACTGTCCATCTACTCAGGAGTAACTGAGGAGTTTAATTTGTTTGTTTTTGTCGATAGGCGATATGCAGCAGGATTCTTAAGTTGGCTTAATCCAATGCATATCAGTCAATTCGGGCTGATAATATTGACAGTTGAATATTATATCAATATATTGAAAAAGTTGAAAATATCCTTCTGCCATTCCCTACAGGGAGGCGATGAGGTTGGGGGTGCGTGCACAAACGCCAAGCGTAGGCCTTCGTCTCAAATCCCATTTCCGTCAATGTTTATACTAAACAGTAGGCAGGCCCATCAATAGAATGGAATATCTTCCTGTAACGCAACTGATTGATGGACGCAGAGTATTGTTCGCGCGAAGGCACAAAAGCGCATGCGTGCGGACAAGCGAACAACATGGCCGATATTCAGTGAGGACTGGAATGGTCGGTGTTTCTTTTATGCCTTGTTGCTTCCGAGCTGTATTCGGGAGCAGTGAACGACAAGTTGCGATGTTCGCAGTTCTTTTCCTGTTGTTTTCGTTAAGGATATATGATACTGTGCTATCGCAAAAATATGATCGATTTGATTCTATTGCAGAGAAAATCGGCCAACGCCACACATTCTGAATGTCGGTGGAAACTTTAAAAAGAACTATTTCGTCCGTGTGTGACAACTGATGTTATTGATACTGCGGCAGTGGCATGAGATGAACTTTCCTATTGGTTGTATGGGTCTTTTTTTTCTTTTTTTTTTTTTTACAGTGAGTTTTACAGAATAAGGGGCACAATTTATGCGGATAGGTGGAGAATATAACGGTTAACCCTAGAATTGAACAGCTTAAGATTGTAGCGATCGGGAAAATATTTTCTGGGGAGTCGGTTCCACTGAGCAGTGGTTCCTGAGAAGAAGTTTCTTGAGTGGTACTTACTTCTCACCAGGGGAATATGGAGAGAATGAGGGTGGTTTGTTACAATGGGCATGGCATGGTGGGTCTCAGCCGTGAAGGTTAGAACTGGTGGGACTAAGGAATGTAGCTCATCTGAGCACTTTCCATTGAAGTAGCGATAGAGCAGAGGCTTGCTACAACTCTCCTGTGAGAGAGGCCTTGCAGGTTGGAAAAATTATCACCCACAATAACGCGGAAAATCTTTTGATCTATCAGGACTAGAAAGTGAGTATTGGGTAGCGTTTTAATGTAATGTCCCACGCGCTCTATCGTCTATGTAGACTGGCTATATCAGTAGCTATATATAGTGAGCACAGGATATATCTGGGGGCTTGCTTCAGGAATTAGTTGGAGATTCGTCTCCAGCTAAGCTAGTCGAACTCTCTGCCTTCGGGAGGAGAGGAACCCAGACGAGACTCTGCCCTTCGGCATAGCCTCGTCTGGGGTGGTAGACAACTACCCGACTCCATTTTTACGGGGTCTACGGGGAAGTTTTGTCCGAGCCTAGGGGTTCGGTCTTACCCCGCATTAAATAACAGCCTAGTGCCACATCCTGCCTTGCAAGGTGGTGAGGTAAATAACCTTGCTTCGATAATTACCAGCCTGCCAACCGATTCCCTGTCTTTCAATAGTGCATTCTCTTTTAAAATAAACCTCTCTTCTTTCATCTACGCGCGTGTTGCTGTTTCTTCACTCGAGTACCACCTTTGTCTGTTTGTAACCTCTTTAACGATACAACAGGTAGCTTCTGCCAAAATACGACAGCAATACTCCATTTTAGGTCACAACTGGCTCTTGTACAGGCAGTGAATAGCATGAGAATTCAGATACTTACTAGAGCAGTACGGGGAACCAATCATGTGTCCTGTATACTTATCAGTGGGCCGTATGTGAGAGTACCACTTGAGGTCTAGGATGAGTATGAAGCCAATCGATCAAGGCACGGAGCCTCCCCGAGGGAATATTCATTCATCTTAACTAGTGGCTGTTCACGGTCCAGTCAGTGATGATGGAATATAACTAGTTTGGTTTTCGACCCATTGAATGTAACCAGCCAATTTCTCCGCCCACTGAAATGTTAGACCTAGATCGGAGAAGAGATCAGCTCCCAATCTCTGGCCATCACTAGTTTTGGAGGTGAGATGAAATCCTAAAGGTCGAAGCACATGACACGAAAACGTTTTCTACTTTGTCATATGTGTGTGTGTGTTTGTGCATATGTATGTGCATGCATGTGTGTGCATTTATTCTGATGAAATTCTAAATGTCGAAGAGCATCACACGTAAACGTTTTTCACTTTTCATATATCTATATCTATATATCTATATATATATATATATGTGTGTGTGTGTGTGTATATATATATATATATATATATATATATATATATAAAGGTGATGTCTATAATTTACAATTTGGTTTCTATATAACTTTTCCTTTCAGATTTGCAATAGCATCATTTTAATCATTAAGTTTTTGTGTGAAATTTAATCTGCAGATATTTTTCACAACGCTTATATAATTATTATAGGTACTTATGTTCTCAAACAGCGTTCATCGATATGAACTACATTTTCTTCCTTCCTTCCTTCCTTTCTTCCTTCCTTCCTTCCTTCCTTCTCCTTTCCCCCGACTTTGATTTTCAAATCAAAGAAATATTCTCCTGCTGTTTGGCATTCTTTCCTGTAGAATAAGTCATGCTCCAACCATTAGGCTTCTCAGCTTACTGAATGATTTATCGCCTGTGTCAAATAAGTTGACAGGCTGTTTTTTGGTTGAAACGATCGGAGGAGAACGTATCTTTTTTACATTTTTTTTATTCAAAATTAAAAGTCAAATCTGTAAAATGGTTTTCTGAAGTGATATCAGGAAAGTCCCGGACTTTACCTGCTATAATTGTAGCGTTCAATAGAAATGCGTGAATCAGTTTAGCTCAACTGATTCTTAATTAATAAGTGTTGTTTCGTAACAATATTTCAGAATGGCTTCGCAAGCTTTAAAATGGCTGACAGATTTCGATCAACATGCCTACTTCAGATTACCTGTATATATATATTAAAAACATGAATTATAGCAGCTCGAACTCAGGAATCGGAGAGCCGAGTTCGAATTCCAGTTGAATCCATTACATTCACTTACATGTTAATACCCTTGTGAAAGGTATGAATCCACTTCTTCCCCCAGCTACGGGTAAATTGCAGAACAGACCGGGTTCTATAGCCTTCGATGGCAACTGGTCTACCGCAGAAAGAATTGGCAACCTACTGCGGGAAAAATGTCTTCCTCGTCAGTCATGTATCGAAAAATACATGATCGCCTAAGCGTGTATCACGCATGGCACACAACTGACTGAATGTTTACTTAAGTGCAGAAAATTTAATTAAAACGATAAAAACAGACACGTTAAAACATGAAGAATAATAAATAACCAGCGAGAACAATAACATTACTATAAAATGCTAATACCAAAATACAGCAAAACAAAGCAGCTAACCAGGTTTATCGACCCTCTCTTATCAGAGGTCATTGACGAATTATATCCCGAGTGACTAAAAGAACACTAAAAGTAAATGTTATATAATCGATGTGCAACTTGTGAAACGACATTCTAGAACAATCATGGTAACACGCAGGTTACAGGTGTTGAAGAAAAAGGAAGCTGTGGAGAGAAATTATCGCTATATCCTGAATAGTACCTAAGGGAGAAATAAGAAAATTAATCCTTAAAATGTATACCTACCTTTGTAGGTTTCATGAGAATCTTCCGAAGATTTCAACAGCCAATTTGTAAATAATGCTCCGAACAGCAAAAAATGTTACATTAAAACTATGAATAAATAGAAATGCTAATGAAAAAAAAAAGGTGTCATTTTATCAGAAGCAAATGGTGTAGATGCTAAGTATAAAAAATTCTGACTGACCAGATCAAAACTGGATGGAGTTATTACGAATTTATTGCAAATGTTTCACTGGGAAGAGAATCGATGGTTAATTAGCATGGTCATTGTTATTTGGTTGGACAGGTAAAGAAAGGGAGATAAAAAAAAATGCCGTACAGATGGAAGAATCAAGCGAAGAGGAAAAAGAACGATTTTCAAAAGTAAAGCATGCAAAAAAAATGAACAAATTACGATACATAATGAAAAAAAAAAGAAAGTAAAACTAGCAAGCAGGAAACGATAAAGGAAATAAAACAAAACAAATCCCCGATAGATTTCATGAAAAATAATGTAAAAAGAAGGAAAAATGTTGTCCAATGAGTAAAATAAACAGAAATCAGAAAGAAATAAGAAAGGTGAAGATTTGGTTGTCTTAAAGGAATAGATAGATAGATAGATAGATAGATAGATAGATAGATAGATAGATAGATAGATAGAAACAAACTTAGATAGATAGATAGATAGATAGATAGATAGATAGATAGATAGATAGATAGATAGAAACAAACTTAGATAGATAGATAGATAGATAGATAGATAGATAGATAGATAGTGTAAAACATTCAAGGAGGCCAGAGGTTTATCAGATCGGAAATGATGACAATAACCTATGATGACGCACCGAACACCACTTCTCTGTATGCAATCATATTTTTTTTTTAAATAATTATATATATATATATATATATATATATATATATATATATATGAAACATTATTTTTGATTATTCGAGTAGAAACTTTGTTTTTTAATTAAACAGTATTTTTTATTAAACTCCAAATAAAAAATGAACATAACGTTTAAACAAAATAAATTAAAATTAAAAAAAATGCCACATTTAATCCATTTCCTAGAAATAAATTATCTTTGCGTTAGGATATGAAACAGATCAGACATGGATGTTGCGAGAATTGACGGAGAGTGTGTGTTCAAAAGCACTATTCGGGCTTTGTTTGACTGTAAGTCCTAGGTGGCTGAGCGGTTAAGTACATCAGATACAATACCATGCTGTAAAATAGTAGAAACAAAAAAATTACCTACTAAATGTTTAACCAATAACATAATATACAAAGCTATCGTTAACATTAACACAGACGAAAAATTTACATAAGCACCACAGAAAAAAAACTGTAAAAAAAAGATATTATAACGACAAAATGTCATTCGAAAGAAAAAATACACAAACAATGCAACCATATCAAAATACATATGGAGCCCCCCAAAAAAAACTCCAAACAAAATCAAATGGGATATTATAAAAAAAAAAAGCAGTCCCATACAGTATTAATAGTAAAAGTTATAAATTATGCTTAGAGGAAAAATTAGCAATAATTAGATTTTAAAAACAAAATAAACTCTTAAACAAGAAAACTGGAATGATAGGTAAATATAGGCATATGAATAAATACATACTTCGCTATCTATGCACTAATTAAAAATAAACATTTTTTTTTTACAAAAAATGATTACTAAATAAACAAACCACCAAACTTGTACCAAAGAAAATTGCATACTGATATCCGCTGAAGAGTGGACGGAGAGGACCGTCTATGAATCTCTGGAGTCGGGATGATAAGTGACAAAATTTTACTCGGATTAATTCCTTTTATATATATATATATATATATATATATATATATATATGTCTTAGAAAAAAACCTGACGCTGATGACGATATTGTGCTAATGTTGAAAGTACTCGAAATAAAATGAATATGCATCAACATGGTAATTTTCTTTCTTCCTTTAATACAGATATTAAGAACCTTGTCCGTAAATATGAGAGGAGCCTATTACCTATAAGCTGACAAAACTTCTGAAAATTATTTAATGAGGCATGTCTTAATGAAAACATGCTGCCAATATATATATATATATATATATATATATATATATATATATATATATATATATATATATATATATATATCTTAGAAGCAGAAGTGCCAATCTAAACTTTAATCCTATCATTTCTTACCTGTACTATGTTAGTTTAACAATGCTTAATCCGAAATTTCAAAACAAATTTATCTAGCCGTTTTTTTTACGTTCTTTGTTGTTTTTTTATTTTTATTTATTTATTTATTTTGCACTTCCGGGCTGCGTTTGACTTCATCCATTTCAGAACTGTAAACCTGCCTTCAAACATTGATTAATTAGATATCCTCAAATCAGGTATGGAGCCCACTACCGAACGATAAGAATCGCTGCGAGTCTAAGCCGTCGTCCGATGTTACCTTGTGTTTGGCTTGGCGCCAAACTGATGAGAAACTATTCGACAAAACACTTGAGTATAATTCACCGATTCACAATGTTTAATACTTTTTATTGTTCAGTTTTTCTTACTCTCTTCACTTTAATCTTTTGTTTTTTTTTTTCATCTGACTTATTCTCTCTCACTGACACACGTACTCATAAATCCCTCGTTCATTCACACACGTACCTCCCCACATTTCACTTTCTTTCTTTTTCTTTTCTCACGGCATTTTCTCTAACACTCTATACGTGAATCTTGTATTCTCAATCAAATAAAGCTTTCTTAAAGCCTACACCTACGTACTTTTGTCAGGAAAAAAGCATGAAAATGTTTCCCGTACAAGACATTTAACAATGTTGCTGTAGATGTTGTTAACAAAAAACATGAAAATGTTTTCCGTACAAAGCATTTAAAATGTTACTATAGATGTTGTTAACAAAAAACATGAAAATGTTTCCAGTATAAGAAATTTAACAATGTGGTTACAGATGTTGTTAACAAAAATCATGAAAATGTTTCCCGTACAAACCATTTAAAATGTTGCTATAAATGTTGTTAACAAAAAAACATAAAAATGTTTCCCTTGCAAAACATTTAACAATGCTGTCATGTTAATCCTGTGGAGCCCTGTGCCATGTCTCCCTGTCGTAGTTGTTACTTCTGTGGTAAGGTTTATACGAGATGCACTTGTTAAGCCTCACGCCTGACAGGTTTTGAATTAACGGTTGCATTTTTTGTCTTCATTTCACCCCAAAGAAGCTGATAATGCTACTAAGATGCAAGGTGTTACTGGGAGTGAACAAGAATGAGAAGACATTGGGAGAAGGAACCGGAAACCCAAATTTAAACAGGAAAAAATGGATAAACCTCTACTCCTGTTCAAAAGACGGAGGAGGAGTATGAAGTGATCGATAGGCGAACCTATCTACTCCTATTGAGGAAAAATAAATAAATAAATAGTAAACAAAATTTTAACGCCATGTTAGAAGCATAGAGGAAGTAGACTTTAGAAGGAACCGTAAACTTATTCCTAAGCAAGAAACAAGGGATACACCTCTACTCCTGTTAAAAAAAAACTAGGAAGGATTGTAAACAGGGCGCTAGGCGGACATATCTATTCCTAGTGAATTTTCTTCTAGTCTTGTTGACAACCAAATACCAATCTACTCTACTATTAACCCCTTAGCTTCTGTAAGTTCCTGACTCCTCCTACTATTCTCTATCTTTACAAGAGCGAGATTAAGGAGAAAATAAAGCACTGCTGCTATAGCTGGATAGGAGCTACACAATCTTCACTTTCCAGTCTTGACAGTGTCCAAAATCTCCTATGCGACCTTCTGGGTGATTAAATATTGTTCACCCTAAAACCCCTTTTGCCACAGAAAAATCGTCACTAACCACTCTCTTTTTTTATCGCTAGTTCAATGTAAACCGTTCAAATGAGCAGTTACATTCCTTAGTTCCACCATCGCTAACTAAGACCCGGCCACGTCGCTTACACTGTGATGAAACACCCTTATTCCCTTCGTATTCCATTTGCAAGAAGTTCCGCTGTAAAACCGATTCCGAAGAGAATGCTTTCTCAACCACCACAATCTTAAGCTGATCAAGTCTCGGGTTAAACGTTTTATTTCCCACATATCCTCCTAAACTGCGCATCTTACCTCCTACTCTTACCGCTCACACAACCCTTTTCAGTAAACCTCTACAATGAATGCCTCTTGGGCCTTGTAATGGATAAACATTAGTAAAAAGAAAAAGAAGATGGTGAGAAATAAAATGGATTCTTACCTTTCTAAGGGTATTTGTGTGAAAGCGAACGCAACCATTTCGGCTGTAATTTGAACCCGACATGCCAAAAACACTTTCTGCGCCGATAGCCGCTACACGACATGCGCATACTATTACCAATGGACAATGATAGGATAAAGTAGAAAACAGTTTGCATGCATGATTTTAATGCGTAATTATTGGTTTCAAAACTGTTCGCAATACAATGGTAACCATACGAAACTTAAAGCCATTGATAGAACGCTGAAGGAGAATTGATGTACGACTGATTCGACAACAACATGGGTTATTCGCATTTGTGTCCGTGTGTATACGTATGAGAGATAGTGTGCTGGGAAAAAAAGTATACTCAAGACTAAGAGATAAGGAGTTGATAACAGATGTTTAAAGAACTGATGAAGAGGAAGCAAACATGAAAACATATTTCCATGAAAATTTAATTAACATCAAGTGTATGCAGATACACACACACACACACACACACACACACACACACACAAACACACACACACAAACACACACACACATTTGCGGATTGTTTTCCACTCCTGGACACACAAATGGTCTCCAAACATAACCCACTACCTCGAGTAGCCCACGGGCCTTCTAAAAATGAATGTCGCTGTAAAAAAAACACACACACACACACACACACACACACACACACATATATATATATATATATATATATATATATATATATATATATATATATATATAAGTAACATTAGAAGTCAACACTCAGAGGCGACAGACTTTTTCATGCTGGAACAATCGTCAGGCCTGACGATTACATCCAGCATGAAACAGTCTGTCGCCTCTGAGTGTTGACTTCAATGTTTGTTTTTATATTAATATTTCCATACGCTCTATCTCTGATACTGAACACTTTATTCCATAAATATAGCACACTTTCAAACTATATTTCTTTATATATATATATATATATATATATATATATTGATAATATTAGTGGTAAATATACACATACATATGCAATCATATATCTAAAATATTTTAGATATATGATTGCATGTGTATGTATATATTTACCATAAATTATGACCATGGAATATTAATGTTTAAGCCTTTTTATTATATATATATATATATATATATATATGTGTGTGTGTGTGTGTGTGTGTGTGTGTGTGTGTAAAGACATTATTCCTCACCGGTAGCACGACTCGGAGTTTCATGCACAAAGCAATCTTCAGGTGCTGAGTAGTGACTGACTGTTACGTAATTTAAATTTTGATAAAAATATCTTTAATTTTTATAGTATAAAATATCTGGTTAACGCAATGATGGCGCAGTACATATATTATACGGAGATTACGGGTTTTATTTAAATTAGATATTGAATTTAAAATAGACAGGATTTATCTTATATCTTAAATAAACTAGGATTAATGTTTTTATTTTATATTTAAATTAAACGGGGATTAATGGCATTTTTAAATATACATTAAACTCGACGGACTTAAAACTATGAAAAAAAACTATTTGAAATAGATGAGATTTATATTTTATATTTCGATTAGTAAATATGCATCGAGCACTATTTTATTAACACCAACACTCAATGTGCTAAATCTTATATTCATATATTGTTATATAAATTGCTTTAAAATGATGCTGACAATCTTCCAAGTAATTCTGAAAAGAATTCGAGTTTAACTTTATAAAAAATCGACTAAACTCTAAATCTAAATAAATAAAAGGCACACATAAAACTTACTTAATATAAGATTTGCAATTGAAATTATGTCATTTAATCATATTCTTGCCTTTCCCTAGCTTAATGCTTGCAGATTAATACAGTCGGTGTTTGCAATATGCTGGCCGAATCCTTTTTCTTTCTTTTAACAGCTTGGCACCTGCCATAGTATTTTCTTCAAGTGTTTACCTAGACGCTTACAGTTTATGTGGTGTTGCGTAAAAAGAACACCAGATGTCTTTCATGATTCTTGGACATAATTGCCACTTACAGGACAAATATTGTGCCATTAACAAGAAAAGCAAAGTTGAAATATTATGCAAAAATATTTTAAATTTAAAAAAGGAAAAACATGTTAAAATACTTCCAGGATTAAAAAAAATGCAGTTTACAACCTCAGAGAAAACCATGACATCTTTATTAGGGCAGAAGTTAAGGATTATTTTTGTTATACCACACCTAATTTAGCTTTCAAAGGACAAATATTTACACACCTGAAAATGACTCATGTGAGTCGAAAGCTTGGGTCCAATATGACTATTGGCTATTTTATGTATTAACAATAGACACACTTGCGAAACATTATTCGCATACTAGAAAAAATGATGAATAAATTTAATAGATAAAAAATGTCTATTCTTTTGAATTAGACATGCTTACACGAAAAATTACTTCCTAAATATGATAAATGTATGCATAAAAGCTATCGACTCATACAACGAGTATAACCATCGCTGACAAGTTTGATCTATATTTGGGAGATTGTATCTTTGACAATAAAGTAAGTACATATGTTGGTTTAACGACCACAACATTATCAAGACGTCTTACACTCCATTTGTCGGATACAAGTTCTATCGTACAACATTGAAAGCTAATATTCCTGTCCATCTTCACAATACAGGAAAATACTTGTTGACAACACAAATATACAACACCATGAAAATTATAAACAAAAAAAGTTCAAATTCTCGAGGTCATCTGTATCAAAAGCAACCAACCAACACTCAACAAAATTTATTACGAGTGTAGTAGCAATGTTTTAATATACATCTGATCAAGATTTAATACTATTTTGCATTTTTAGCATCTCTGGTTAGCTACCTTAGATTGGGACGCGCGCGCAAAAAAAATAAAAAATAAAACACCAAAGCTACAACGAATAAATTTAAAATTTTAGAATAATTATAACAAAGTTCGTTCGCACGTATTTACAAAAATCACTATCAAAACGATCACAGAGATATATATATATATATATATATATATATATATATATATATATATATATATATATATATATATATATATATATATATATATAGGTCTGACGAATTGGATCGTGATCACGATTCCAATGTAATAAATTATAACCATGCAATATTAGTGTTTGAGACTTTTTTATTATATTTTAATATATATATATATATATATATATATATATATATATATACTGATATTATTAAAAGAACTGACAAGAAAGTCTTTGCATGACAATGCATTTCGTTCCGAGAGAATTTTATCAATGCAAATGTTGAGATTTTATTTAAAAATCCTGATTTTATACATATAGAAAAAGTAACGCTGAAAAAGATAAGGTTTTGCATTCAGATTAAAATTAAAAACGGTCTAAAATATAAAAGTTCCCAAATCTCCATATTCCACATTTTAAAACATGCATTCAACATCAGTGCCTATTCACTTGGGTACGTTTCATTGTATGATAATATAATGGTTAACAAGCTAATCCTAATGAGTTTATTTCTCATACGAAGAAACTTTTACCTAGTCTGTGAACGTGACTACAGTCATGAAATCGACTGTCCCTGGAAGTTCCATATTTATATTCTTATGTCAGATGATCTTTTTCTTCTTTTATGTGCAAAGTTATTTCTGAAATTCGGCTTTTATGGAGCTCCAGAACTTCTTCTTTGTTCTAAGTTATTTTCTCGTTAACACTGTCTCTGTTTTGCTACTAATTCAAACACAACTCTTTAAGTAGGTTACTGCCTGTCATATGTCCCATGAGTAGTAAATTCTCCAAGCCATCTTTCCTCGTCACATGTCCCAGAAATTTCAACTCTCTCTTTCTGGTCGTATTTTCTTGTTCTATATTTCTTAACACTGGGGCTGTATTTTTTCTGTGCGACGTGTTTCTTCAAGACTTGGGTGATCATGGCACTCTACAATTTCCAAATCGTTGAAGATCTAAGTAACGTTTATCCGTTTACTATCTGTCCCAGTTCTTAAAAGCAAATATTGAATAATCTACCTAACGAGCTTGTCAGACGATACCAAACTTAGTTTAAAAGCCCGTGTGCATGTTTTATAATGTGCATGCGTTTTAACCTTTATCAATCGTTCTCTTAACTGTAACAAAGCATTTGCTAAGCAGTCAACAGATTTAGATGGGGGTAAAAGCTAACCAGGGAAAGGAAACAGGAAAACTAAAAGGAAAATGATAAGTTCAGCGTATGAGATCAGGCATGCAAAAACAATAAATAATATCAAATGCCACTTGCATTCGTGACCGTGAACAATAAATTCACCATCATCCTTGGCAGGTGTGGTTCCTGCATGACGCCAGCTGCTGCGCAAGATCAGAAAACAAACAAGGAATAAGCCAGACATCGATCTGTTGGAGATATTCATGCGATACTGATAGCGCTGATTTTACATCAAGACTGACCACGACAGAGAGAACTTTTGCTTTTGTTTCATCGGAGTTTTCAATAAGTGTGCCTTATCCTCTCTCTCTCCCCTCTCCCCCTCTCTCACCCCCTCTCTCTCTCTCTCTCTCTCTCTCTCTCCTAAAAAAGATATGTCTCAATAATCATTATTATTCCAGTACTTATTATTAGTTTAATTTCAATTTGCTATGATAATTTTAATTTATATGATATAAACACGTAGAGAAAAGTTATGTTATCTCTATGTATATTTCTGAGATGAGGCATTGGAATTATTTACATTATTTACATTGTTCGGACTGTTGTTTTCATATTTATTGCCATGTTCACGATGTTTCGGTCGCTGTACGCCCCGGCCTTTTTCAGGTGATTGGAATTTCGAACTGAACCGTTTATTTTGTTCACCGGGATATATTGTTCTAGTTCCACGTGTCATGCATCTTCCGGATGTCTAAGTTATCACCCTTTAACTCAACTCTCCAAGTTTCTGTTTAAGCACTTGTCCAAGTATTGAACTCACAACTCTATGATTCAAGTCAATGGATTCAACCAACGTTTTTATCTACTGCAGTTTCGAATAATGTAAATAATGTAATATATATATATATATATATATATATATATATATATATATCATTACTTCAAAGATTATTATAGGGTTACTTCGTATTTGATATAAACACGCCTTTTAAAAAGTGAGTATTAAGTCTATGGACACATTCGAGAAGTCTTACTTCGAACCTACACCCGCCTCTTTCGAGAAGACCACTGCCCAAGGCGGTATGCTTTTTCTGCTCGACCACGAAGAACTTCGCACCTCTATTTTCCCTTTTTAAGAAAAGGACATCCTCTTGAATGAGACTATTTTTCGCAAGAAAACATATCTGCTCAGTTTCGTATACGAAACGCAAACAAAGCAATTTTTAAAGAATTAATGAATTTATTTTTAATCTGAGATTTTTATTAGCTACTAGCAGCATTACCCGGCGTTGCCTGGATTTATTCAAAAAAAGATCACGAACCTCATCCAATCTGTAAAGTTAAAATAAAGAAGATTTCTCTTTAGTGTCTCTTATCTATATGGCGAAAAATTATAATGACATGAAGTGGGAAAACATTTATAACAGGAGAAAGTTGTTTTTTACAGAAGTGCAGAAGATACAAAAAAAATTGTCAGCAAATGAAGAGTACATTAATCGCAATCGATCTTCCAAAATTGTTGAGGAGAAATGCTTTGTTGACACCTTTTGCTCAAACAACATCGAATGAACAACATGCATTGGAAGGAGACAAAATTCAACGAAGACTTCTCCTAGCATCCGTGCCAAGGCTGAAAATCAACGTTCACAAAGACTGTAATAGAATTGTTCTTTGCTCCTCAGTTTTGACAGCTCGAGTAGCAGTAGTTCTGGCAGCGTTCCTTCCTCGTCTAGTTAACCGTTGCTCATTAGTTTCTGTTGACCTTGCATTAGCTGTACGAATAGCATTTTGTGTCAGTCTAATTTGAGTTTCTTGTTGCGAAGCGTTTCTTCTCCGTGCTTTCATGCGTTTGGCTGTGATAGAAGTACGTCCAAGTGAAGGATTTGTAGTTGGAGGAGTTTGGCTAAGCTTTTTGAATAACAATGAAGTAATCAATTAAAAAGGAAGAATATTATACACATTAATGGAAATATAGCCACAATAAATTAAATGAAAGTTTATAAGGGAGACGACGGGGACGTGATAAACAATTATAAGCAAGTTCGTAAAGTTAGGATTTATCTAAAAATAGACTACCAAAAAACGTTCTAGTGATAAAAATAAAAATTAACGTGCAACTAGAAACCTACTCACTATGAACGTTAAAATGTACACGCTAAGTTTAGCATAATTATAAATGAATCGAAACAGGGTCTTTACATTATTATAAGTGCATTTTTCAGAATAAAACTGTCAAAATTGTAGGTCTCAAGTTTCCAAATATATGAATTAATAAGCATTTTTTAAATGCTGATTAGAAGATGATAAATTAAAAATTGGCATTTACGCTTAAACTTTTTAATAATATGATTTTTTTCACAAATTTAAATTTAAAATATCAAAAATTCAAAATATACATGCATGAAGGCAGCCTACCTTTTTACTAGATGACAACTTTGATGCGAATGAGATTTTTTGCATTTATTTCATCACATAGCACTAATGAACACTACAAATGAAGCAAAATCGATAGTACGCACTACATAACTCGATCGATCATTGCACGTGGAGCAAAATCAATTGTACACACTACACATCACGATCGATCTCGCACACGTGTCTTATAGCTACGTGCACTTCTCTCGTCGGTGCACACTTTTGTTTGCACTTATTCTTTTTTTCTGAAAGAAAGATATAATTTTTGCCGTCAAGTTAATGCAAACTAAACTATTTCAATACCAAAACGAGAAATCCATGGGAAAAAGTGATATTTTTCATAATGTATTTATGACACATGAGGTGTCAGTTTTGATTTTGAGTTGATTGATCTAAACACAAATTATTTGCAAATTTTCATCGGAATGCTGCTAACCACTATAATTGAAAGACTAATGGGTCAGCAAGGTGTTCATGGGTCATCTTGGGAGCCCCTTGTGTAGTTTTCAAAATCTCATAATCGTTTTCGATTCATTTTAAGATTGTAATATACATGTAAAATTCCGTCGAAATCGAAGCAATTTGAAAATTTGGGGGTCCCTTTGGTTCACCCTAGGGGTCCTAAATTTAAAGCCAAAGGACAGGTTTAAGACTAATAGTAACTGAAATAATAAAGCACATCTTTTTTAAGTTTTCTATTTAATCGACTTTATGGCCAAGGCTGTAGACTTAATTGAAAATCTTGGGGTTCCCTGCTGATCCCTTAACTCGTGGGGTTCCCAGTGTTGATTTTCAGAGAATTCCAAGTGACTACTTCAGTTACTCGATATAATCTCAATATGTACTGAAATTTTCGTTGAAATTGGGGAATACTGCTACAAAATACACTTGAAAAGGAATTGAGGCATCAAGGGATTTATAGGGTCATCCTGGGGACCTGCTCATGCATTTTTTTAAATCTGACAACCGATTTCTATCTCATTGTAAGAGCATAACAAACATGCAAAATTTCATCAAAATCGAAGCAATTTGAATTTCTTTGGGTCCCTCTGAGGCACCCTGGGGGTCCCAGTGTTGAGAGAAACGAAAATCAATATAGCGTATAATAAGCGTAACAGTTACATACACTTATCAAGTTTCATTAAAATCGGCCTTAAGGTTTTGACTTCAAGTCTGAAAGTTTAAAAACAACCAAATTAATGGAAATTCCCATTTAAACATTATATTAATTGATTATCGGTTATTGATTTTTGAAAAATGACTAATTTTTTCCCAGACACACCCAGTATCGAGTACAATCTATGTTCCAAATTTGGTGGAAATATGCCTTATGGTTCTCGAGTAGTTCGCGAACACACACACACACATACAGACACACACACATAGTCAGTTTTATATACAGAGAAGATAGAAGATAGATTACGTTAATACAGAGGATTCCTCGTATTTGAAATAGACGCCCCATCTTTATTTATTTAAAAACGCCGAAATAAAATGGATCTATTAAGTTTTTAGAAATATATATATATATATATATATATATATATATATATATATATATTTATTAATACGACCGATTTAATGACTTTAAACATAATCTTTTATTGAATACTTGTATTTGAGTAGAGGCTCTGTTTATTTATTAAGCGTATATTTTTGTTTAACAAAATTTCTCGAATATTCAGACGAAAATAAATAAATATTCTGTTTAATAAATAGACGAAGTGTCTACTCAAATACGAGTATCCACTAAAATAACGTTTAGAATGGTATATATATATATATATATATATATATATATATATATATATATATATATATATATATATATATATATATGTCTGGCTCACTAGGTGTATCTAGGTCTGCTCTACGGTTGTATTGAGCTCTTTTGTTAGTTAGTTGTTACTCGTATCAGGGTTTTTTTTTCTTTGGGCTTCAGACCTGCATCTGTGCGATTTTTTTGTCGGCAGAAGTCCAAGTTTGTAGCTCTTTCTTTTTTTTAAACCTTTTTTTCCTCGAGATTGATTTGATTAGCAAATCAAAATTCGAGGGTTTTTCGAAACGAGTCTAGTTATCTATATATATATATATATATATATATATATATATATATATAATAAATTTAGATAGGTATCCTGAGCTTTATTTTATTCATTGCTAATATATATATATATATATATATATATATATATATATATATATATATGTTAACTTAAATCAATTACCGGATAATAAGTACGATGGAATTAGCCAGATCTTGCCTATTTAAAAAGTACTCAATACATAAATTGTAGAGCATTTTCTTCTAAAAAGGCTGAAATATCTCAGCCGCTACTGCTGTTTCATTTTTGGCTGGTTTGGTTGTGTTCCAAAATTAACTTAACCAACCCAATTATCCCAAAAACACCGAAATTTTACAGGCTCCCATTGAAAATTGTAGAGAGAGTCCAGCACACACACACACACACACATATATATATATATATATATATATATATATATATATATCCACTTACATACTAATAACTTTAGGAACAGGTATGAACCGTGGGTGCTGTAGCCTTGGATGGCAATTGGTCTAGGAGAAGGACAATTCAAAACCTGCGGAGCGTCGTTTGGGGACCTTGTGGCACACGGTGCACCAGATCTCTGTACTTAGATCTTCAAAAAGTGTGGTTGGTTCTGCACAAATTCTTCACCATTATAATCAAATCATATGTGCAGGTTTTTTGACTGTCGATTCCTAAGAACCGAGATGCCTGACGCTCATACGTCGTAAAAAAAACGGTCCCCTGTAGGCGCAAGTCAACAGCCTGCGTCGATCAACGACGGAAGAATCCACGA